GCAACTAAAAAGGTGCCATTGTCCGGTGAGGTCCGGTTGGGGAGTTACGGAACGATCTCATATCGCATAATCTTTTTAACTGTTTATCTCCTGAACTGCGTCTTTCTTTACCACGCTATTCAGCGCCAATCCCGCCGTGCAGTCAATTTCACTGGTTAAGGTTAGGGTCAGGTGTGGGGTAGGTTTAGGGATTAGCATTTTTTTGTAGCATAGTGTAGGAAATCAACACTTTAATTGACACAACCAATAAAATCTTTAGAATCAGCTGTGGGGCGGAGTTTGCACTGAAGTGGATTGGGGAAAAAAATTGCGCATGCGTGTCATGTGCCTGTCTGTCAATGGGAGGAAGCCACGCCCTATTTTGGAGATCCCACCCCGTTTTGGAGTTCCCGCCCCCATTTGGAGATCTCCAGGCTGCAGTTATACCCTTCTCAATTTCCTGGCGTCAAAAGTTACTTCTATCATATGAGTCTGTTTTGGACTTTCTGTACGAGAGCGCCCTCCGGCTTCGAGTATGAATGAAACATACAGCGCATGAGAGTGTTCAGCGCTCCGTGATGTTCACATCGTTTTGGATAAGAATAACGTATCCAAAATGACGTGACTATAGTCTCTTTTAATTTAAATCTAGATTTATTCACATTGGCCCTTAAAAACCTCTACGTGAACACACTTGCCCGAGAAAAAGTGCATGGGAAGAGTTTAGGATTTATTAAAAGTCGGGGGGACACCTCCCCCGCCTAGACTGTAAACTCACCTCAGCCTTCAAGTCTGATCGGATCCTCACCACACATCTCTTCACAGCCATCTGGAACGTAAAGCTGATGACACCTTTGATCTTTAGCAGGGCTTCTTCACAAAGACTCCTCCGAGCCTGACATACACCGAGACAGTGTGTCAAATTGTGCAGAACCAAACATTTGAATCTCCATACGCTTGGATTAAACAGGTTCCATTACAAGCTGTTTGACTGCAGTTACCGAATCATCAAGCCCGTCGATCTGAAGCACCACCGTTTTGGCCCGTTTGTTCGTTGAGCCCAGGAAAAACTGGGCTTTTTTTCGGCAAGAGGCGGCCGCTTCCGCCTGTTCGGCCTCCGCGCTGCTGGAGTTCTGCAGGATCTCGTAGATCTCAGACGCTAGCAGCTTGGTCTCGCCTGGCGACGTGCCCCTAGTGAAACACATCATAGATCACTGTAGGATTCACAACAGATGACAAAAAAAAGAACAATTGATGAACAAAGAAATAATTGAGCAAATATGCTCGTCTAGTCTGGTTAAAAGATCATGTATTGTACATTTCAGTACTTGTCGGTGCTGATATTTGAAAAGGTCATCACTCCAGCAGACAAGGGGAGACAACATAGATCTGCGCAGGAGGGGAAATCTGCCGGCATGAGAGCTGGAGAAAAGTCAATCTGATGGAGATTGAACCAACTAACCTTTAGCACATACAATATTGTGATTCATCTAGTGTCATGCATTCCATACGGTTTAATATCACAAGTAAGCATAAATGCATATTGAACTTAACTAAATTAAGTTTAAAAATGAAGAGATTGATGCATCATAGTAAAAAGAGACAAAATATAATGTTATTGTATTTTAACAATACTGTTTTAAAATGAACTAAAAGAAAAGAAAATTTCACTTTCTGTGGATGTTGCCCATTAGGAAGGAAGGAAGAACGAAAGAACGAAAGAAAAAGAAATGTGTGAATAAAAATAATCTGAAAAAATTTAAAAACTATTATCTTACTTCTTATATACATATATATATATATATATATATAGACACGCACAGGTGCATCTCAATAAATTAGAATGTCATGGAAAAGTTCATTTATTTCAGTAATTGAACTCAAATTGTGAAACTCGTGTATTAAATAAATTCAATGCACACAGACTGAAGTAGTTTAAGTCTTTGGTTCTTTTAATTGTGATGATTTTGGCTCACATTTAATTGAGTTGAATTACTGAAATAAATTTTTCCATGACATTCTAATTTATAGATGCACCTGTATATATATATATATATATATATATTAATAGCCTTATTACTTATTGTGTTGCAAATTTGCTTAAAGGCATCCATAAAAACCAGCCAGGAAATTGTTTAGTCTTCAGAATATTTAGTTTTTTATTTTTATATTACATTCTAATTTGTCAAATTTGGACATTATTTTCTCATGTGCATTTCCCGATAACAGGGAGCTGTAGATGATGGTAAATAAAGATTTAAATATTTAAATATTTTATAGGTAAATATAGATATGTAGATGATACTAAATATATTATCACATGACAAAAGTTATGCACACAAGTTACCCACCGGCACAAATCAACCCACTCTCCCCTTCTGATGAGGAAAAAAAAAGTCTCAAATAACTAATCAAAAGTTAGTAAAAATGTATATTTAGCCAATCAGTTATTTGGTCACTAACTATAGTGAAGTGACCCGTTCGTTTAATAGGGTTAAAAAAGACAGCAGTTCATTGACATCAGCATTGGAGGTCAGGAGTGACATCAGGATCTTGATATGCCCTACAGGCGCTAATGGGGGAGATGTAACGCTGCCATCATTCATGCAGAGTTACAGGAACGGACATCTGCTCGCTGGCATATCTGAGCTGCCAGACCTCAAGCTTCCCATATACACCTGAGGGAATGCTGACGGCATCTACATCCTCCGTCAAAAGGAGGCAACCTATGCAATCAATAGCTAGCTAGTTATAGTAAGACACAATGTAAGAAAACACTGAACATTCATCAAAAAAAAAAAAAACTAATTCAAGCATTAGAACTGCTTATTTCCGAGCTCTGCGGTCTCATCAGGGTTGATGAAGGATTTCTTCACTTCCTCTAGCCATAAAATTTCACAGACTGGGGCGATACACGACCTCTACCAAAAGTCGTTGTGCCGGAAATAGTGACGGGCAGCTTGTGGAACTGCAGGGCACTCCTTGATGGCATCTGTGCTAACTGAAGTGACTGGTGAATCGAAGGGGGCGGGCAGGGAGTCGCCCTGAGAGAAGGATACGCAGCTCTCTGCCAACCATTGGCACTTCTGTCTGTGGCACTGGCCGTCTAAGAGCCTGCAGACTTTCACACTAGAAATAAGCCTGAACTGTAGCGAATATACAAACATACATGGATCCTAGATTCCTGTGCCTCTATACTTAGCCATGGGGGTGTCAAAAACATGCAGTTGTATGAATATTTAAAAAAATCAGTTGCCATCTACAGTGCTGTTTGACATATGAGGTAAAAGAAACCCTCAGTTTCATCTTTTCTAACGCACAAAAAGAGAGCTCAACATTTTTTTTTCTGCAGTAAATCAGATTTGCATTGGCTCCATATAATAACAATAAATAACAATAATTATTAGAACTATTATTGGTTTATTATATAATAATACTACTTTTTTATTAATGTTGTTATATAACAAACTGTTGTTATTAAATTATTATTATTATTATTATTATTATTATTATAGTATATTACATTTATTAATAAATAATTTGACAGGTTTTAAATTAAACAGCAAAAATGTAGCTATATGACATCTATAAATTGATAAAAAAATTTTGCTAGAAAATGGTGGCTTATCCTAAGTTTCTACAAAATCTACATTAGCCAGCTAAATAACATCATGTTTTGTGATATTTACAATATCATTCAAAAGTTTGTGGTCAGTAATTTTTTTTTTTAAATAAGTTTATTTTGCTCACCAAGTTTGCATTTGCACTGACCAAAAACACAGTAAAAACAGTAATATTGTAAAAAAAAGAATTTAATTGTTTTAAATTACAAAAAAAACATTTTTTAATTAAATAAAAAAAAAACTATTTTAAAAATTCTTTTACATATTACTACTTTTTTAATTTAATCCTGTGATGGAAAGCTGAATTTTAATATTGTCACTCTAATATGCTGATTTGGTATGCAAGAAACTATTATTATTGTTATTATTATTAATGTTGAAAACTGTTGCTTAATCATTTTGTGGAATATTTGATGAATAGAAAGTTTAAAGAAACAAAGTTTCTTTGAAACAAATCTTTCAGGGGAAGTCATGGCCTAATGGTTAGAGAGTCGGACTCGTAACCCAAGGTTGCGGGTTCGAGTCTCGGACTGGCAGGGATTGTAGGTGGGGGGAGTGAATGTACAGCGCTTTCTCCCACCTTCAATACCACGACTGAGGTGCCCTTGAGCAAGGCACCGAACCCCCAACTGCTCCCCGGGCGCCGCAGCATAAATGGCTGCCCACTGCTCCGGGTGTGTGTTCACTGCTGTGTGTGTGCACTTTGGATGGGATAAATGCAGAGCACTAATTCCAAGTATGGGTCACCATACTTGGTCACATGTCACGTCACTTCACATCATTGTCAAACTTCTTTGTACCAGCCAACAAAATTTCACATGCAATTAGATGCAATTAATTAATTAATAAAATAAATTACTCTAGTTTGCCAAAAAAATGAAGAGAAATAAGATCATTTCTGAAGAATTCTAAATATGGGCACTGAATATGAACTCCTCCATGTCTGTAGTGGTATGATATTCTCTCTGGTGTCTTAGACTGACCTCTGCTGGACATTAACCCATGGCGAGCAAACAAATGCAATCATGCATTACATCAGTTTGCTTGACAGTTCACATTACGCTTCAACAGCAAGCTTGCATCATCACTCCCATTTAGCTTCAAAACAACAAATCTGCTAATGACAGGACGACCTTTCTCGTGCGCTTAAAATCTGCCCACCACACACATTCACTTCAACTAAAGCAGCAGGAAGAGGTTTTCTGCAGGGAAGTGCAAAGCGAGCTCATGTTGCCTTCATGTTTTGTGGCAGCGTGACGGGAGCGACTTACTTCTGCATGACGTTCTGCAGGCTCAGCATCATTCCCAGCTCGTCCTTCATCTTCTCCCTGTTGGAGCGGCATTCTGCCAGGTAGCGCACCGCCTGGAAGGACACAAAGCCATTAAGGGTCCCACAGGGCCATTACAGAGGCAAACCGCCAGGCACCGCTGTGATAACAAATCCGTTAACAGAACACCAAGAACTACTTGGGTCAGAGTGTGTGAAAGAAAGTGTGTTATTCCAACATTGTCCAAATGTCTCCAAAGGTGTGATGTCCTTCTAAAAAAGAAAAAACATAAAGAGGGGTCCAAAACTCTGAGGGCACATTCAAATTTTTGGGGCTCAAAATCTAATTTTAAACTGGGATTAGAGTTTTAGGATTTAAAAACACTGACATTATTATAGGTTGTGCACTATTTCTCACCAATCAAATAAGGTAATTTGTGACATTGACCATAGCAGCTCATTTACACAGAATGCCAGATGTTGCTTCCACTGAAGAACAAGATGCTCTGGAACATTCTCAAATCATACTGGGGAACGTGGACAGACATCTCTGTCCATCTAACAGAGGAAGAGGAAACACTTTCTGGTCTGGACATTGCTGAAGTTAGGCTAAGCATTGTAACAATACTGGACAGCAGGTGGCAGTCATGTGATGTGTCTATGGACAACTGGGTGGGCAATGAATGATCTGATTGGTTGATACAAATGCCTCAATATCCAACAAACAATATCAAACTATTTAATAAATAACAATAATTAAATAATAATAACATTAATAACAATAATAATAATAACAACAATCAGTTACAAATTACTGTTTGTAGATACAAATATAGCAGGAGGCAGTAATGTGTCATGTCTATGGACAGCTGGGTGGGCTTTGCTTAATCTGATTGTTTAATATGAATGCCTTGGTATCAAACTATGAGCTTAATAATAATAACAATAATTTTCTTATTATCATTTATTATTTTAATATATTTTCATTGAAATCTAATCTATTTGAGTGATAAATAAATAAATATTTATTACAAATATAGCGGCTGGGTAGGCTTTGAGTGATCTGGTTGGTTTATACTCGAATACTTTGATATAAAACTACTTGGAAATTTTAAAAATGTCTGAAGGTATAACGAGTTAACTTGATAATAAAGAAGAAAAATTCTAAAATAGTAAATGCTGTCTATTACGCTTTATATTGGGATATCTGAATTGAAGTTAAAGCTAAAATCGCTTACAGTAAACTATAAATAAACAACTCATAAGTTTTCCGAGAAAAATTATCAAATTAATTGTAGCTATCAGAACATTACTGTTTGTTTGAGAATATCAACAAACAAAATAGTTGAGTTCATAAAGGCTCCAAATTTGAACCCTTAACTACCACTATGCTAACATGGTAGCAAACATCTCGCAGGTAACTACAGAAAAACCATCTGCACAAGTCTTGACTGCAGATGCCTCACAAACAGAATCTTACCAATAGCGCAGAGTAGACGACTTGTGGATTGGGATGGTCGAAGAAGAGAATGAGGCCTGACAAGCAGCCTTGATCTTCAACAATAGCTCGCCTGTTGAGGGGGTCAGCAGCTAAGTCCCTCAGCTGATTCACCACAGCTAAGGCATCAGGCTCCCCGCTCATGCTGCTCCCACACCAAGGGCCATGCACATGAAATACACAGATCTTAGCTGAGGGGGAATAAAAATAAGAACTGGATTACTTCTGAACATGTTGACAGTGACAGGAATCACACTAAGGTTTATCATAAAAACAACATAAAAGCTGGTTTAAGCTTAATTACATTAACCTGATAAAAAAAAGTTGTCTGCTCAACCTCTTGTTGAGTATACATTATCATTTTTTGTAAATATATTATTTAAACAAACAAAACAAAAAAAACACGAATCTGAGGTTTATTGACTGACGTCACTCAGTCACTATGCATTGCTGTCGCGCGTGCGTCGTTTCGCATTGATTTACAGATGATCTCTATACACGTGGCTTATTATTGGCTTTCATCGTGAACTGAATGACCCATGATGGTCATGTCTGATTCACATAGCACAACATCGCATTACGAGGCCTTTAAATGGGCCCTGTGCTAACCGGCTAGCATTAACACGGCATCGACAATCTGAATTCTCATATGAATCATAAAACTGCATGTAAAAGCAAACATTTGGAGCTTATTTCTCATTCATATTTAGTCTACAGACATCAATACATGTAGATCTGAATGTCTTTCTATGAACAATGCCAGCACGCAAAAAGAGAAAGGCAAAGTCTATTTCTATCAGGACGCACAGAAATATACACCTGTATGAAGCCAAATAATAGTAATAAATTTATAATCCGAGTATTTGATTCTTGTGTGCGTATCTATCTTGTTAACCTTGTGTGTGTGTTGTGGCACTGTTGTCCACGCATAACCTTACAGCAAACACGCCCAGGACGACTCCTCGCTTCCGATGATCCTGTCCAGTCAAAGAATCAAACCCGCCGACAAATGAACTGCTGATGGATACGCAACTGGGTGTAGCTCGTGTAATAACGACGACAGTGAATATGGTTAAAAGTCTCTACGACAGCTGTTCTGGTCGGGTATATTTGGCCATTACCTGCGGAGCTTTTAGCACCCTTTACTACACTTCCCGGATTTAGACAGACTGATTGGAGGATGTGGACTATGACGCCATGCGTTCTTGACCAATTAGAAAGGGTTTTACTAAGAGACAACGTGATTATACAATATAAATGAGTATTAAAGCAAATGATAGAATTATTATTATTATAGAATAAAACAAATCGGAACCAAAACGTACTAAAGTATTTGTTTATTTGGCTATTGTTATTGTTTTTTATTGTATTGCGAAAATACATACAAAGCATCAGAGCCAAGGAAGCAAGTAAAAATACTATTAATATATTTTATTTATTGGGTCCCTACTAAAATACATGACAATACGTGTATTGTCAATACAAGACAAAACAATACACGACAAACAATACATGACAAACAAATGTAATTGTTACAGGCAGAAAAGAAACATAAAAACAATTGTATTTCCTCTAATGTAGACTAACAGATAGAGATGGTCTAGTTCAGGAGAAACTTGAATAACAATTTATTATTGTGCATTTTTATCGTCAGCCAGTATAATACATAAAACAATAGAAGGGCGAAGCATAAATAAATAAATAAACTATAAAGTACAGGTTTGATACGATTTTATTTAGGTAAATATTTTAAATGATTTCCAAACAACCAATGTTTTCGATCTTTTTTTGTTGTTGTTGTTGTTGGTATTATTGTTCAGTATTGTCCTTTATAAAACTTAGATAAACAGATTGTAAGATGGAACATTTTTATTTCTGAATATAAAACTAAACAGAATTTAATTAATAACTTCAAATTGTCTTCTTTTTAACCCTGTGATAGTCATCCAAACACCGCTCACTTCCGAAATTCAGCAAATCCATTCCATGGATGCGTTCCTGCATGCCTCGTGTGTGTGTGTGTGTGTGTGTGTGTGTGTGTGTGTGTGT